GTATGGGACAGCTGGGACAGCTGCGGCTGACAGAATGTGCCCACAACACATTCTGTCCCCCTCTCAGCTCACAGCCCCCTTGAGTTGCCTCAGGGAAATCTTCCAGAGGGGGACATGTGTGGATTTCTAAAGACGTCTCCAAGTAAGCAGGCACAGAGTAGGCTTGAGTTGGGAAATGAAGAGCTGGAAATGGTCTGTGGGTAACAATGGAAAGAAGTGATGCTGCTGCACATGGATGAGGCTGTCCCCAGACAGACCCCACTTAGGAGACACCTTTTTGTTTCAGAACCACAGAATTTCTACAGATCCGTCCACAGAACCACTCAGATTCTGGAAGGCCTCTCACTTCACTCCTAGTTATGAGTATGAGACGAGGGCAGGGGCAACGCTAGGGGGTGTTTTCTCAATTAAGACAGGGTTGCAAGAAAGCCCTGTTGAGGACTGAATTCTTTTCAATACTTCAATTCTCCCTGAGAAGAATCCCACGGTGCTAGAAAAAGTGTTGAATGCATAAAAATCAAGGTTCAGGAGGCTTTAACATTTTCCTAACATATGAAAGTGATTCTCTTTTTCATTTTCTATTAGTTATATAAATATATAATATTTTAGGTATAGTTGAATTTTCACAAATGTATACTAATACTGCCATCAAAAGATGGAAAACATGCCATCACCGAAAAGAACCCTCTATGGTGCCCATTTGAACAACATCCCTCAAACACCTATGTTAACACTAAAAAAATTGGAAAAGATTAATAATTTATTTTGGTCTTTATTAAACCTCTAAACTGTTACTGCTGTTTCCCACTCTTCCACAGCATGTGCTGAATGTCTAATCATATGCAAATGAAACCTGTGAACAGCTAAATGGGTGATGGGGCTTTGCGGATAATTGAAACTGAAGACTTCCAGTCACTCCTGGGATAAAAAAGATGGTGAAAATTTGCCATTTCTACTCTTATACACAATTAGGATATTACTCAAAATGATACCCTCTCTGTGCAGCTCACCTCAGTTATTTCTTGGATGATTGCATCTAAACATCCATTGCTCTTTCTTGATGTTTCTACTGGGAGATCACAGTGGACTCACATAGATATCACTACTCATAGACCACACTCATCATGAGCTAGAACAGTGCAGATGAGTGGAACTGTTTCTCTACATGGGAGGAACTCCATTTAATGGGGTATATGTTGCACACTCAACAGCAGCAAAATGAAAATGCCAAAGATTATAACACTTTAAATAGTTAAAGGCAAAATAAAAATCCTTTCAAATGACGTTAAACACAAAAAGACACCACAGATATCTGTGGCTTAAATCAATAGGAAGTCTCCAGTCCCAGAAAATAATGACATCCTCACCTGCTGAGGCTCCTACTCTCATGGAAAAGATATACACACACCTCAGTCTCCCTATTAGCTTAATGTTGTTACCAGATACATACCCTGGTTCTCTACCCACCACACAAGACGGGCCAAATAAAACTGGAACGCCAGGCTTATGGCGAGGAAAGAGTTTTTATTTCAGGTGACATCAGCCAGGAGACAAGAGCTCCCCAGTTTGCCCCGTCTCCCTGAAAGATGGGACGCAAGGGGCTTTAAAGGTTGTGAGGACTGTGGCTGCTGGTAGGGAGGGGGAGCCTGTGGCCTTTCTGGTCAGCGCTTTCCCGCCAGCCTGCATTTGGCCTCATGAGGCTGCTGGCAAGGAGAAGGATGGCGAGATAAGGGAATCACAGGTGGGTCTCCTTCAACTGTCTCCGTCTCCGTGGTGGCTGGTGGATTCTGGTGCCAGGAAGCCAAGGAGTTGAGGTCTGAGAAGCTTTTAGCTTCTTGATGTCAGTTTCCCTGTAACAAACCTCAAGAACTGGTAATTAGCCACAACTTCAGTGTGAGCCCAGCTTGAGGCCACCTGGGCTTTTAACAATTGGTAACTTCACAAGGTAACTGCCTTGTGAAGTTCAAGGACACAAAGATATACAAAACCAATATTTAACCTAGAGAAACAGGGAGAGAGGATGAGTGCTTTTGGTTTTGGTTTTAACCCCATATATGCTGGCTTTAATGTAGGGGAACAAACATCAGGGCCACTATCAATGCTATTTTTTCCTTTCCTTCAAAGCCCTTATTTTCACCTTATAAGACAAAGCTTTACGATTTGTTAATCATCTCTTTTCCTACAAACATATAAGCACTAGGATGGCAACAACTTGTTTGTTTCATGCTGCTATATCCAAATCCTACATGTCTTATTTATGCTCAGTTGGGTACATTGCCTCTAAAGTGCATGGCATGTGAGGGATGTCGAAACATTAGCATCAAGAGCACAGTCTCTGAGAAAGAAAGGCTTGATTGGCATAGTGGTCCTGTCTCTCTCCCTTGCTAGGTTTGTACTGTCTCACAATTTACCTAAACTCAAAGGCCTCAGGTGAGTCATATGAGATATTAATAATATTAGGATATATTAATAATATGTAGTAAACTAAGAACTGAATTTATATATTTTAACAGAGGTACTTTATGCTAAACGGTGTCTAATACACTGTAGGAAATACATCAGTGTTTTGATACTAAGTAGGAAAGACAAAAGCTGTCCCAGAGGACCAGGAGCTGCCTGCTGTCACTGGAAGGACAAGTCTCATCCTGAAGAGAAAAATGTTACACAGTCCCGTCATCAAAGTACACAGTCACCAAGACAAAACTAAGGGTATTTTGTAACCATACCAGTAAAAGTGGTAAAAGAAAAAATTCTAAACCATAAAAATGACTAATATTCCCTTCTTCTTACTAACATGACTGACTGGAACTTCTTACAAATTAACTTCAGCTCCACTACATTGATATGGCCTTCTAGAAAACAATGATTAGGTTTACCAAAGATAAAATGTTTACCAAAGATAGAATTAAGTTTACTTCCTCACAGCATTCAATACAGAAAATGACTTGCTTCCTTGAATAGCAATCAAATCATCTAACACCTGCCAAAATCTTGTAGGAAGTCCTTCTGAGCACCCTGTCACTGTCACACCTCACAGTCCCTTATGGTCTGTGGTCATTCTTACTAGAATTCATTACACCCCTTTGTTTGACTACAGGTGCAATCCTGCAGGTCACTGGCAAGTGGGCACTGAAAAAACCATGAGTTTTAAGTTTTGGGTGAAGAATGAATGAGAAATTAGTTTCATGATAAAAATTCTAACTATAAAAGTCTAAAAAATACAGTTTGCCTGAGGAAAAACTACCTGAATTTGCATGCACATGATAAAACTGACTCATAATGGATAATGATTAAATGAAGAAAATCGAAAACTATATCTGAAAATCCATAATTCAAACGGTTTTTAATATATTCTCTGAGGAAATGAAAACCACAATATTTATTAGCACACAATGGATTGGAACAGTTGATAAAATATATCAATGAAACTACAGAAGTGTTCATTTCACAAGAAAATGCACATAGTTTAATTACATACAATCAAACATTACTGAAAACATCTTGAAGGAATACATTCAGCTACAAGTAACAGGAAACACACACAGTCTTCCTGACATGAGAAAGGGGACTGTTCTCACATGAAAAAACTGGGTCAAGGCAGCCACTGCACAACACAGCAGAGAAACAAACTCCCAGGTCCTTCTTTTTGTGCCCCATTGTAGATGTCATGGTGAATCAGGAAAACATGCTCACTAGCACTATTAACAGCATAAGGTGTTTCCTCTGCAAATTAGACCTTCTATAGATATCATCTAGAGAAGAGGGGAATCAGAGAATACTCCCAACCACAAAAGTCTGAATTAGGTTCCTGGTGGACACAAGAGGCCTTACAGAAAAATCCTAACTCTAATGGATCTTTGATGTGAAACTTGTGAAAACATCAGTGGGAAATACACCTGTAAGAAAATGGAAATCAAACAGTTGGTGGTGGTTTTCAAGATACTCTTGACTAGAAGGGAAAGAATCCAGAAAATGGGATGGAAGATGGTTTCCTTGATGCTCCTATGTAATTGTCTCTTCTTGTATGGTGGCTCCAAGATCTGCCTAATGCCTCCTTTGCTTCTGTCTTCCAAATCTCATGCAAGTGAGGCTACTGGTGAATTCCAACACGGAACCATAAAGGGGGTGAATTCTTAAAGATCTAGTTCTTATATTACCCTCATTGACATAACACAATACAGGCGTGACATGCCCAGCTCTAGATTTTGTTGCCCTATCACAGGCCTCTACTTAATTCAAAGTCTATTCACCAAATACCAGTCAGAAGGAAGAACAAAGAGCAAAGGCCCAAATATGAAAATAAGAATTCACAGGAAAGTATACTCTTGATAAACCTGCCACACATAAAAATTAATTCCAACTGTTTAATAGTATGGAAAATAAAAACAGGCTCCAATACCCACCAACCCAAAAAAAGGAGATTTCTCTAGGAAAGGTACAATATATACAGTGGATTAGGCATATCCAGGATCTGCAATACAAGGCCAGTAAGAAAATCCCAACAAATACAAACTGTCATTTTTCAATGGCCCCTTAACACAGAACAATTAGAACATTATAAAAAGAATTAAAGAGAAAACATTATTAACTGATTTAAGGAAAAAGCACTACCTCGTTATCTTATGTACAATTGATGAAGGATGACTTGCAGGATTATCTCACTTCAGTATTTCTTTCAGAAAGTAATTAATAGAAATCCACAAGCCAATGTTGCACTTTAAGGAAAAGGCTTGGTAAACACAATATATTTACAACTTTTATTAACAACTCTTTCATGTTGAATGTTTTCTAGAACATTACATACAAATTAATTTGCATCAAGCTTTCTCATATGACATTTATATTTCTTTTTGGTGGGAGTTTCACCTAGAAGGATGTGGGCCAATTGAAGTCTTTCCCATACTCTTTACATTCAAGAGGTTTTTATCAAGCAAGTCCTTTCATGCCTTCAGAAAGAACTGGAATGACAACAGGCTTTCCCACATTCTTTCCTTTACATGGTTTTTCCTCTGGTATGCATTCTCGCATATCCTCCAAAGTTTTCATGAGAAATAAAAGCTTTCCCACTTTCCTATCATTCATAGGGTTTCTCTCCACTGTGACTTCTTTCATGTCTTCGAAGATATCTGAGAGAAATGAATGCTTTCTCACATTCCTTACATTCATAGGGTTTCTCTCCAGTATGAATTCTTTCATGATCTCGAAGAGAACTGGAAGAAGTGAATGCTTTACTGCATTTTTTACATTCAAAGGGTTTTTCCCCAGTATGAGTTCTTTCATGTTTTCGAAGAGAACTGGTATAACTGAAGGCTTCCCCACATTCCTTACATTCATAGGGTTTTTCTCCGGTGTGATTTCTTTCATGTATTTGGAAACCCCGAAGAGAAATAAAGGCCTTACCACATTCTTTACATACGTAGGGTGTCTCTCCTGTGTGAGTTCTTTTGTGCATTTTTAAGGAACTGTAATCACTGAAGGCTTTCCCACATTCTTCACATTTATACGGTTTCTCTCCAGTGTGCACTCTCAGGTGTCTTTGAAAGTCTGTGTGACAAATGAAGGCTTTCCCACATTCCCGACATTCATAGGGTTTCTCTCCAGTATGACTTCGTTCATGTCGTTGAACAGAACTAGAACAACTGAAGGCTTTACCACATATTTTACATTCATATGGTTTCTCTCCAGTGTGAGTTCTTTCATGTCGTTGAACAGAACTGGAACGATTGAAGGTTTTACCACATATTTTACATTCATACTGTTTCTCTCCAGCGTGACTCCTTCCATGTATTTGAAATGCACTAGGAGAAGAGAATGCTTTCTCACATTCTTTACACTTATAAGGTCCATCTCCACTGTGAGTGATCATGTGTGCTTGAAGCTTTGTGCGAGTTATACAGTCTTTGCCACATTCCTTACATTCATAGGATTTCCCTCTAGTATGAATTCTTTCATGTCTTCGAAGAGAACCGGAACAAGTGAATGCTCTACTGCATTTTTTACATTCATACGGTTTCTCTCCAGTGTGAGTTCTTTCATGTCTTTGAAGAGAACTGGGACAACTGAATGCTTTACTGCATTTTTTACATTCATAGGGTTTCTCTCCAGTGTGAGTTCTTTCATGGACTTGAACATTACTGGAAAACTTGAAGGCTTTACCACATATTTTACATTCATACGGTTTTTCTCCAGTGTGACTCCTTTCATGTATTCGAAATGAACTGGGATAAATGAATACTTTCCCACATTCCTTACACTTATAGGGTTTCTCTCCAGTGTAACTTCTATCATGTATTTGAAGTGAACGGGAACAACTGAGGGCTTTCCCACATTCGTTACGTTTATAGGTTTTCATTCCATTGTGAGTTCTTTCATGTTTTTCAAAAAATTGGAGATAATGGAAGGCTTTCCCACAGTCCTTACTTTTACATGGCTTCTCTCCATATTTTTGATACTCATATGGTTTGTGTCCAGTGTGAAGTCTGACGTGCCTACAAAGGGATGAATGATGCATGAAGACTCTTCCACGTGCACTGCACTCATGTGGTTTCACTCCAGGAGTTTTCTTGTTCAGACTGAGATTTGGAACAAGGCTAAAGTTTTCTCCACGTTGACTACCCTCTTCACTTTCACAGAGTCTCTCCATCATACGACTTCTGTAAAAAATGAGAAGCACATGTTTGATGTGCTTTATTAATAATTTTATTATTTTTATTATGATTTATAGGAAAACTGTAGGTTTTCTGCCTTGTCTGAATTCTCTGAAATTGAATATGCTGAATGCTGTGCAAGAGGACTTCACCCTTGCTAGTATCCAAACAGCGATATTCCTATATAGGGCTTATTAATACTGTTTCCAAGTGAACTATTTTGCAAACCTTGAACAACTATGTCACATGTAAGAAAGTATATTTGCTGAAAATTTTCTAAGAATAACTAAACTTGAAGCAGGGGTTATTTGTTTTGTTTGCTTCTTTTTAAAATTTCATAACATACCAGGATTCTCAAGTGAGACACTGCTTTCTATTGTGACTGTGACTCACCTTAGTTTTCTCTCCTGGTTTTTGTACTGATCTTCAATGTCATGATCTTCCCATTGTTTTCCTAAAATGCAAACCCAGAAAAAAGAATTCCAAAGTATTAGAAACTATAGAAAGCTTTTTAGATTCTAGGTCCATGATGAGCTGTGACCATGCCTAGTTTATATATCAACATCCTCCCTTTCCACAGTCCACATTTGGGACAACACTGATGGGCAGGAAAGACTTGTTCTGTAATTGACTGAAGGAATGTCCTCATTCTTACCTATAGAGGCCAGGTTCCTGAAGGTTTCTCGCATCACATCTCTGTAGAGCTTCTTCTGTGAAGGATCCAGTAAAGCCCACTCCTCTGGGGTGAAGTTCACAGCCACATCCTCAATGACCACTGAGTCCTGAAACATCACAAATATGTGTAGAGTAAGAAGCATGATACTGATAGCATCGGGGATCTATACTCAATTTATAGGAAGTTTATGTATGATTATGTCATCTCCAAACATTTATTCTTCAACTTGATCATCAGAAACTTACTCTCTGTCCATGCATCCTCATAAACTTAACAGCATCATGAACACATGGAAATTGTTGACACATTTTTGCTGTGATCACATTACATCTTATTGCTCTCTAGTGGCAGGGTCCAGAGCAAATTGGGAAATGACAGAAATGCTATACACATGAACCAAATATTATCATTTTAAGACTGATTCCTTGTGAGATAAATTCTTTCATCATCTTCCTTCTTACCCAGGAGTTACAGCACTCCATAAGGCAGACAGTCAAATCTGCATGAGGTTTCAATGGATAAAAACACAGTGAAGAACTGCAAGCCTATTCTTCTATTCCCATCACCAAACATGAGAGGCCCAATGGCCTGTAAAAATTAAACTTTAATCAAAGCCCAACTGGTTATATTGTCCAAAAGGCCAAAAGGAAATCATAAGTAATGAGCTGCCGCTGGCTGAATGTAAATATTCTTGTGGGGAAGCACTACTTTTAACTTGTGTAATATTCATCACAGACTCTGCTCTTCCTTTCTCTCTGTATGACTGGATGGAGCCAGAAAGTTATTTGGAACTTAGAGCTCAGACACAAGGAAGAAGGTATGACAACTTAGACCATAAAATCCCTATACTTGTGCCTTTGGGCTCCAGCCAATTTTTAGAACACAGAGTGAGATAATAATGTGCCAGAAGAGCTCTTTCCAGGCCAATCCTAACAGTGTACCCTGGGCCTTGCTGCCCTTGAGGAACAGGTGAAGAGCTGCAGATTGCAAGAGAGTTCACTGAAATTCCTAATGATTTCATGGTGAACAGTAAACGTCCAAAAATGGACACCCAATAATAGCATCTTCACACTAGACAAAAACCAAAGACAAAGAGAATTTACTGAAAGAAGCCAGAAGGGAAAACACACCTTAGGTACAGAGAAACAAAGATTGGCATTAAATTGGACTTCTTTTCAGAAACCATGCAAGCAAGAACAGAGTGGAGTGAAATATTTAATGTTTTGTAATTAAAAAACTACTCTCCTAGAATTCTTTGTCAAGCAAATTTATCCTTCAAAAATAAGGAAAAATAAAAACTTTCTGAGACAAAAATTGAGGAAATTTGTCATTAGTATTCCTACTTTGAATGAAATGTTCAAAAATTTACCAGAAAAAAATATAAATGGTAAAGGTGGAGATTTAGAAAAGGAATAAATAAAATTAAAATACTTTCATATTTCTTATTATAAAACAGTTTAAGACTAAAGGAAGCTGGCATACATATAAGAATTTCAGACAATGCAGATTTCAAACCAAAGAAAGCCCAGAGATAAAGAGGGCCATTGCATAATGATGAAGGGGTCCATTCCAAGAAGGCAAAGCAATCCTTAATGCTTTGTGCGTTGTGCATAACAACAGAGGAGCAAAATACATAAGACAAGAGCTGACAGAATGCAAGGAAAAATAGATAAATCCACTACTATAGCTGTAGACTTCAACACTCCTTTATCACAAACTATAAATTCCACAGCCGGCCCCGTGGCTTAGAAGTTAAGTGCGTGTGCTCCGCTGCTGGCGGCCCGGGTTCAGATCCCGGGCGTGCATCGACACACTGCTTCTCCGGCCATGCTGAGGCCGCGCCCCACATACAGCAACTAGAAGGATGTGCAGCTATGACATACAACTATCTACCGGGGGTTTGGGGGGAGAAAATAAATAAAATCTTAAAAAAAAAAAACAACTATAAATTCCACCAGGCAGAAATGAGAGGACAGAGTTTAATTGAACAGCACTCTCCAACAACCGGATTTCATTGTAATCTATGGAAGACTTCATATAACAAAAACAGAGTACACATTCTTCTCAAGTTCACATCAAACATTCACCAAGACAGAACATATTCTGGGACATAAAACACATCTTAACATATTTGAAAGATTTGAAAGAAATCATATAAAATATGCTCTTAGACCACATAGGCACTAATCTTGAAGTCAATAACAGCAAGATAGTTGGAAAAGCCCCAAATACATGGAGATTCAACAACACAGTTATAAATAATACATGAGATCAAACAAGAAGTCTCAAGGGAAATAAAAAATTATCTTAAACTAAAGGAAATAAAAATGCAACATACCAGAGGTTTTTGGATGCAGCAAAAGCAGTGCCTAGAGGGAAATTTATGCCATCAAATGCATACATTGGAAAAACCAAAGATCTATAATCAACAATGTAAGGGGCCGGCGTCATGGCATGGCGGTTGGGTACGTGCGCTCTGCTGATGGTGGCCCGGGTTCGGATCCCCAGCGTGCATCAGTGCACTGCCTGTGGGGCCATGCTGTGGCGGCGTCCCATGTAAAGTGGAGGAAGATGGGCACAGATGTTAGCCCAGGGCCAGTCTTCCTCAGCAAAAAGAGGAGGATTGGCACAGACGTTAGCTCGGGGCTGATCTTCCTCACAAAAAAAAACAAAAAACAAAAACAATGTAAGCATCTACCTTAGGAAACAATAAAAAGAGCAAATTAAACCCAAAGTAAGCACAATAAAAGAAATAAAAATTAGGGAAAAAATTAACGTAATTGTGGGAAATCAATGGAGAAAAACTTTTTAAAAAGTCGATTTTTTGACAAAACCCATAAAATTGATAAACATCCAGTAAAGATAACTAAGAAAAGAGGGAAGCCAGAAATTACTAATATCAGAAAGGAAAGGAGGGGTAAATGAAAACAAAAAATATTTATGAAATCCAACATTCATTTATGATAACAAACTAGTAATAGAGGGAACTTCTGCTTCTTGAGAAAGAACATCTTCATGCATCCTGTAGCTAAATTCATAACATTTGTTCCATATGACATGATTGTTTCTGTGAAACATCTGAAAGAATCAACTCTTGGAATTAATAAGAGAGAATAGCAAGATTGAAGGATAATCAATTGCTTTCCTAGAGACCCACACAAATATAATCAACTGATCTTTGACAAAGGAGGAAAGGGAATTCTTTTTTTTTTTTTTAATTTATTTATTTTTTTGTGAGGAAGATCAGCCCTGAGCTAACACCCATGCCAATCCTCCTCTTTTTGCTGAGGAAGACCGGCTCTGAGCTAACATCTATTGCCAATCCTCCTCCTTTTTTTTTCCCAAAGCCCCAGTAGATAGTTGTATGTCATAGTTGCACATCCTTCTAGTTGCTGTATGTGGGACGTGCCCTCAGCATGGCCGGAGAAGCAGTGCGTCAGTGCACGCCCAGGATACCAACCCAGGCAGCCAATAGCAGAGGGTGCGCTAAGCCACAGGGCCAGCCCAGGAAAGGCAACTCAAATGAAAAAGTCTTTTAAACAAATAGTGTTGGAAATAATGGACAGCCACATGCAAACACACACACACACACACACACACACACACACACAACAAATGCAGCCTCGAGCTTTACACCTTTAATAAATTTTAACTGAAAACACATCATAGATCTAAATGTAAAATGCAAACGTAATAAACTCCTAGAAGACAAAATAGGAGAAAATCTAGGTTACCTTGGGTTTGGAGATGAATTTTTAGATACAACACCAAAAGCAAAGTCCACAAAAGAAAAAAAATGATAATTTCACTTCATTCAAATGAAAACCTGGGGCCGGCCCGTGGCACAGCGGTTAGGTGCACATGCTCCGCTGTGGCGGCCTGGGGTTGAGATCCCGGGCGCACACCAATGCACCGCTTGTCAAGCCATGCTGTGGCGGTGTCCCATATAAAGTAGAGGAAGATGGGCACGGATGTTAGCCCAGGGCCGGTCTTCCTCAGCAAAAAGAGGAGGATTGGCATCAGATGTTAGCTCTGGGCTGATCTTCTTCACAAAAAACAAAAACAAAAACAAAAACGAAAACCTGTTCTGAGAAAGACAGTGTTAAGAGAATGAAAAGACAAGTCACGGAGTAGGAGAAAATCTTTGCAAAACATGTATCTGATAAATGACTGGTATCCAAAATACCAAAAGAACTCTTAAGACTCAATAGTAAGAAGAAAAACAATGCAATTAAAAATGGGCAAAAGATCTGAACAGACAGCTCACCAAAGAAGATATACAGACGAGAATTACGCAAAATGAAAACATGCTCCACACCAAATGTAATTGGCAAGTTGCAAGTAAAACAACAATGAGGTATCCCTACTTATTAAATGGTTAAAATTCAAAACACTCAGAACATCAAATATTGGTGAAGATGTGAAACTACAGGTAATCCTCATTCATCGCTGGTGGAAATGGAATGTGGTGACCCACAGTGGAAGACAGGAACTAACTTTCAAAACAAAATATACTCTTACTATGTACAGTAAGATCCAGCAATCACACTCCTTGGTATTTTTCCAAATGAGTTGAAACCTCTTATGTTCACACAAAAACTTGTACATGCTTATTTGTAGGTGCTTTATTCATCATTATCAGGAGTTAGAGTTAAGATATCTTAACAGTTGAATAGACAAGCAATCAGTGGCACATATATACAATGAAATACTGTTCACTGATAAAAAGAAATGAGGAATCAAGCCATGAAAATACATGGAGGAACCTTAAAATTATATTGCTAAGGGAAAGAAGCCAATGTGACAAGGCTATGTAGTGTATGATCCCAAGAATATGATGTTCTGGAAAAAACAAAAGCATGAGCCAGTAAAAAGATCTCTAGGTGTGAAGGATTTAGGGGTTGGAGGGAGGGATGAGTCAACAGGCGAGCAAAGAGGGTTTTCAGGGGAGCAAAAACTACACTATATGATACAGAAATAATAAATACATGTCATTATACATTTGCCAAAACCCACAGATCGTATAACACAGACCTATACAAGTGTACCATTTTTTATCTTTTATACAGTATTTTTACCATAACTTTTCTATGTTTAGAAGCACAAATACTTAGCATTGTGTTACAACTGCCCACAGTATTCAGTGCAGTAACACGCC